CTGTTGCTCTCCTCTCTCTTTATTATCAATTGATCGTTTTTCCAAACTATTTTTTCCTAAGCGAGTCAATGACATCTTGGATTTCTCAGGGGGGCAGCATTCTTCTGGCAGCTGCTCTCCCTGGAGCCGCCCTCCAGGCTTAAAAATAGTCTCACTCTGAAAAAGAGAAAATTCTTCATTTTTCTTCTCTGACGAATGACCAAGTTTTGTTCTTGGTCTGAAGGAAAATTTAGCTAGTTTAGCTGCTGGAGGACTTTCACTGTCAAGGATTTCTGGCTCATGGGAACTTACTACCTTTGCTTCCTTCACTACTTGACCTTTACTTCGTTTTCTCATGGAAATGGTTGCAGTTTTTGCTGCTACAGATAGGCTGTTCTTTTCCTCCCCTAGCACAGAATCTGCATCACTTGAAAGATCTGGCAGGCCAGATGCAGGTAATACTGAAGGAAGGGCCTTTGCCTTGGGGTCCTGCGTACTTGTAAAGAATCCATGTGATTTCTCCGTGTGCAGTCTCTGCCAGCTTTTAGAAACCCGTTGTGTAACAACTGAATCCTGCACACTAGCACTTGGTGATGCTGGGTCTTGAATATTTGCTTCTGAAGAAAGACTGTGTTCTTCAGTCCTTTTCCTGCTTATCTTGGAAACTTTGTCCCGTTCCAAAGGAGCATGTAGATTCACAGTTGCTAGCGACTCTCTCATTCCATTTCCCTTCCTTGGTATTGAAGCACTTCTTTCTTCAGAACAGGATGTTTTACACAGGGTTTCTGAAGCCAAGTTATTTGGAGGTATCTCGGGCACTGGAGACTTTTTCTGAAAAGTTTCTTCAGCATCAGTGTTGCTCTCTTCCAGGCTGTCAAACCATGCCAGGCTGCCATCATCACCTCTCTTACTATGTTTAATCAAGTGGTTTGTATTTTTGTTATTACCATGTGCCGGTTTGCATAAGGGTTCTAGGTGTACCTCCCCTTCACAGTGGCCTTCGGGCAAAGAAGGCTGTGGCCTGGAGTTACTCTCTTGTTGATTTGAAGGTTCTGACTGAGACATTTGCTTTGACTGCCCAAATGTATCCTTGTTCAAGCATCTTGTAGTACTGCTGAAACTTGTCTCTTCAGGCTGCAGCTGGCATGAATTTTCCTTTTGTAATCTATGGAATGAAAAAAAATGAAGCAATAGTAATTTATTTTTCATTTTTTTCTTTCTTTATTGCATTAGTGATGCTTCATATGTATAAATGGTGAAAAGCTACAAATAATGTAGGTCACAAAACTGCATTATTAAGTTTCATATATAGCTCCAAACACTGGTGTTGCAGCCTGTGATCTTTCAGCACCTTCTACAGTAAGTGGCAGAATTTAGTGTCCCCAATAAAAGATAGGCAGATGGACAGAGAAAGCAACCACCTAAACTTCATTTCCTTGGGAAACCAAAAAAAAAACCCCCAAAAAACCCCAAATAAAAAGCTTCGTACCACTTACAGCCATTGCTAGAGTCCCTGAGGGATTACATATTCTGTAAGTATATCTTCTAGAACAGGAACCTCATCAGATTTTCTCCTGAGCAAGGCAAAGCCTCAAACGAGTTATCAGAATGGAAAACCTAGGTATTACTTGGAATAGTGGTTGCTGGTGGTTTTCTCTCACAGTCACTATGGACCCAACATGTCAAAAACTCCACATGATAGAGTGAAAGCATCTCAGATCACCTATAAAACTTAATTATCACTGTCTGTGGCTGTTAATATTCTCAGGGCCCTCCAAAACAACAGAGGTGCCAGAATGAGGGTTCCCTCCAATCTCAGGATAGCTGATATTCTGTCTATTGTGCCTAAACATATAATTTCCAAGAGAGCGAGCATTCTGCTTTTTGCTAAATGGTGATTCTAACCATGGGTGAAGAGCAGCCACATTCTATCCCCAAAGTGACTGCATTAGTGTAGGTGAAATGATTCCTATGCATTACAAACAGCTCCTCTGCTATATGAGAGAGAAAACACTATATTGACATGTATCTTTTAGAATCATTATTATCATTATTCACTAATATGCTTATTCTTAAGCTTTTGATGGAAAGTAGCAGAAATTATCTGACTCATCAAGAAGGACTGAAAGACACATGCTTGTTTTACTGAATTATAGTTTAGGGGGAATGCATGGGAGAAGTCTAATACAGAATAGGTTGTTTCAAAGAGGACATTCATTTAGTATTCTCTAAGCTGCCTAAGAGGCAGGGAAGAAGAAATCAGCTTAATTTGCAGCATAGGGGATTCAGTGGGATATTAGGAAAACCTTTATGAGCATTAGGATGGAGCAATACTGGAACAGACGACCCAATGGCAACGGAAAATCCTCTTCGTTAGAAGGCCTTTGGAGCAGGTAACACAAGCCCCTGCCAGGAAGGGCAAACACAGACCTGATCCGGTCTCTGTATTTGATCTCCCATCCCATCCTACATTTCTACGATCCCTTATGAACACCTCTGTTTTAAAACTAGCTTTTGTCTGTCTGCTGGAGATATCCAACTTTCATCTGCTTTTATTGCCTCTGTGGTTATTTAAGATGTCCTTACTATAAGTTACAAAATAAGTCTGAAAAATATTTAAAGGAAAAAGTGTATTTTCCCAGCTGTTCTTATTCCATTAGCTTCGATAACATTAATCTTTTATCTTCCTTTCACAATAAGAAAGTAAGAATTTTTTTAGAGCCTAATCTCATTTCAGGAAACAAATGTTATTTTTTTGTATTTTCTTTCCTTCCAATCCTAGTGTTTTCCTCTCAGCCCCAGTAAGTTAAAAGTTTTCTATCAATAACAGCAAATAGACTTTCCAAAGATTATTGCAGTGAGCTGAAAACTAGAGAAGAGACAGTGAAAATTCCAGCGTGTAAAAAAGAAAAATCACCCAGAACAGAACTTTGATTCAGGCTTGTATTTTCCATTAACAGAAAGGGAAGGATCCTGACAAGCCCAACACAAAAGAAGGCTTAAAAAATATGAAGCAGATCTGCTGTATTTTACCAAGCAAGTAACAAAAGGTTATATAAAATTATTTGCTCAGCTACAGAATCTGGCCTTTTGACCCTAAGAAGCTCCACTGAAACTTACGTGAGCATAGAATTGAGATATGACTTGGGAACTGATTAAAATGTTCTTAAATTCTTTGTAAATTCTATAACCCAAAGAGAGAAATGATCTTGTAATGATCTCAGAGTGCTACTTTAAAACAATCTCCCTGCTTATCCATGTCCTCTAAAGAACAAGTCCCTTCCCAATGTCAGATTCTATTTTTAGACCCTCTCCAGATATTATTGTCAAACAATTCTTTTTCGCTATTGAATTATTTTGTTACTCTGCATATTATAACCTGTCAAGTCTTTGTAGCTCTTTGTGCAGAAGATCTTGCAGCTCCAGTCGCTCCAATATGAGTTCACACTGTGTTCGGTACTGTGCCATTGGATTTTCTGGAAATGAGCTGTGTAAGGCATTGACGCCACCGAGAAGTGCACCCCCCTATGTCACCAAAGAGATAAAAAAAAATAGGAAGCTATCTTTATTATTCAGCACCAAATTTAAACACCAGAGGCCATTTTATACACAACTCTCCCTTAGATATTTTAAAGCTTAAGGTAGCAAATATTTACTGAGTAACTGTATTCACACAAATAATCCTATTAGGTCTGCTCACACAGGCAATGTTGCTCATACGCATAAAGCAATTATATGATCAAGCCTGCAGTTTACTCGTACTGGTTTATTTTTATTTATACAAAAAATGGAAAGTCCACTTAAGGCTTGAGAACATGATGACTAGAAATGGAGATTAGGATTAAAGAAATTATACCTAGTAAAAATTCTGCCCATGTGAGACACTTTTATAACTGAAGAAGTTCTGATTGCTGAAAGTTTTCATTAGCTTTGCCTAATTATTTAAATGGAAAGACCTGGGTATTAAGGCTTGTCAACACAGGGTAAATTGACCAGCAAAAATATTTCTGAATAGCTCTTTACAAGTAACTAACTATTCAGGAATAATTCCAGAGAGCAAGTGATTTTAATCTGGGACAATTGTGCTGTGCCTTGCGAAAAATGAAGTAGTTTTTATTTGGAACAGAGCATCTGCACAAAGTGATTTGTTTCACAACAAATAGTCTAGAATAGTCTGTAGTTAATTGCTCTTTGGAAAAAAAACCCCACACCACAAACCCTCTATTTTGCCACAGATTAGCTAGCATTTACCACTCCTGTCTAATCTATAAAGCTCAACACAACTAATGAACAAGATGCATATCATGCCATGAGAGCAATAGCAAAAGTCAACAGAGTCTCTACAACCAGAAATTGCTACATACGGCATCACATGGACCACACATTTTCATCTGTGGCAATATCTGGTTCTTCCATTTTGAAATGTTAAAATTTTGTATTAAAAAATAATTTACATTGAAAAAACATCATTCTGGTGGCAAACTAAAGCCCTCTAAAACTACACAGTGCTAAAACTAAGGCTGTCCATGCAACCATTAATGCATCCCATTGAAGTTATCACTTGGGGTTTTTTTTGCAGATCACTTCAGGAACATGGTAGATCTGTTCTAAGTAGAAGCATTAGTCTGTAGCCATGGAAAAGGTTGTTGTAGAACCTCTCTGCTGTATGTGTTTCAAGGACTGGAAGGTTCATAGTTAATGAGGCAGGGACTGTAGAAAGGAAAGTCCAGTCTCTTGGTTAGGACGATTAAAAGCAGCCAAGGAGAACTACATTCTGTCTCTGACACTAAGTTCCAGTTCTTGTGATTCAGAATGAGTCAGTTAAGCAAAGGTTTTGAAAGGCAATAAATCTGTAACTGGGAGCCTGATGTGGTGTGGGCACAGAAGGAAACTGCAGTCAACAGAAGTGTGCTCAAACACTCAAAATGCTACTGCTCTGAAACTGGGGCCCTAACCATTTCTCATGGGGTATGCTCCAGTGGACAATTTCTTCTGGATCATGCATAATTCAGCTCCAGATCATAGAACAGGAGTAGCACCAGCCCATCACTTCACAAGGACTGCGTGAAGATAAGTGAATTGATATTTCTGAAATACTAAAACACACTGGAGATGAATTCCACAGAAAAACACATGAAGAAATATAGAATTCTACCTTCAGAAGAGCAGGTAATAAAACATTGAGAAAAACACTGACAAAGGATAGTTGCTTTTGGCTTGAGTACTGTCAACCTGTGACCTAAGGATCCAATGGGAAATAAAGGAACACACGATTATATATCTTGAGATATATGCCCAAGGGGTACAATTATGTCTCGCCCTCACTGACTTTTCAGTATTTTACTTGGCTATCATAATGAGTTTCTTTTAAATGTTCCTCTGTGTGTGTGTGTGTGTGTCTGTGTGAAATTCTAAGTAGGTTGGGACTGAATTTAAGATATCAGTAAAGTTTCATTCCTGTGCTAGTGCTTACATCTCTGAGATATCTGCCCCTCTGAGATATCATTTTGAGGAGAGGAAGGTAGCCACATGACAAATCCACACACTGTGGAACTGAGGGCAGAGGATCTGGAACAGAGAGAAAAAAGAAAGTATTACAGGGAAAGTAAGCAGAAAGGAAGGGTGTAGAAGTGCCTAAGGACGGGAAGACAACATGTAAAAAGGGAGTAAGAGGAGAGGGATTGGAAAGGGAATAAAACAAGGACGAAAACATGACTAAGAGAAGGAGGGAAACAATGTTAACAAAGAGGAAATGAGGCAAAGAAAAGATCAAGCCAGGGGGATTAGAATATGCTCACGAAGACAAAGTAGGAAAGAGAAAAATAAGGGTGAATTAGAGAACGAAACAAACAAAAAAACCCAATGAACTAGGTTGGTGATGAAAATGTGATAGTCCTCCTTCCCAGGAGGGCTCACAAGAAATAACTGAACACTGACCTGAGAACTGTGAACTTTGATTTTATACTGGCAAGAATATGACTTTTTGTAGAAGTTGCAAAGACAGTGTTGAAGACAGAGTTTGCTGAGCTGAAAGGTGGCAGCCAGTCCTTCAAGAATGGCACTGGTACTTCCCCATTTACAACCTCATTCTACAGACTGACAATTAGGCAGGAAACACAGGATGTATCTATACATAAAGTGTTTTTTTTTCTAGAGAAGGAATCAATTTCTGAAAATACACTTTTGCATGTTACTTCTATTTTTTTAATAAAACAAATAAATCACTTCCTTCAAAAATAAACTGTTTCAGTGACTCATTTATACTTTCCAGGAGGAACGTAAATTTGGCCTTAAATAGCAGATCTCAAATTTGCAGATTCCTAGCAAAAAAGAACACATTTGCCTACTTGCTCATAAGAAGTGAAGAGTGGAGCAAATATGATGAGCATACCAACTACTCCCAGGAAGTCTTCTGCAATTTTCTCACTGACTCTTATTAGATAGATGCTTGTTATGCAAACTGCAGCCCTTGAGGGCAGGGCTGTATAAATATGAAAAAGTGACCCACAGTTAAAACAATTCTTTTACATTTATTTGTGCTGATGAGGTAGAGAGATACACAGATGACAATACACATTCAGTATTATTATATACGTACATTCCACTTTTTGGTCTGTTATGAAAACAAAATTGAGTATTTCAGATTTCAAAACCATATTGTTTTGAAACCAGTGTCCCATCAAATTCCCATCTAGTTAACTACAGGCTTAATTACAGTTAATGAACACTTATGTGATATCTTCTGCTGTTTCAACTGGATATATTAGTACAGCTTCTTAGTTTAACTTAGATGCAGTGCTGTCATTGAAAAGCTGAGCTCTTCAAAACAGTGCAAGATGAATTGCAGCACACAGCGGAATAATCTTTTGCTACTTAATAAGGTCAGGCCCTGTAGTATTTTTGAGACAAATTCCATTTGCAACACTGTGCAGTAGGCTATCTGTGGCACAAACTGCAATTAGTCTCTCAACCCTCATTGAAAGAACACAGGAGATCGTAAGTGCCTACCTGCCATATGTGACTGTGCATCTATCCTGAAAAGCTTTATCTCCAAAAAAGGAGCATATCTACTCCTGCAAAGGTCTTTAAAGTCCATTGAGCTAATGGGTGCTATATAAAATTGTTTTAATTTGAGTATATTCATATCAACCAATAGAGAAAAATAGGAAATGCCATTTTGGATCAGACCAGTCATCTGTGGAGTACACTACCTCTGACAGAGCCAAAACCAAATATTTCAGACGTGCTAAAAATCCCCATGCATAAAACTTTGGATAATCTGCTTATGGTAATTTTTTTTCTACTCCAAAGCATGAAGATTTAGTTTCCTTAAAAATATTCTATCTGAAGTAATAGCGTCTATATTATTTTCCACATTGCCATTAAAAAAAAGCCTCTATCAGATTCACATTCCTTTTGTTAATTCTAAATGTGTTGCTTTTTCTTTACATTCAACATCCTAATGATGTTACAGTAAACTAAAATATAGCCTTCAGTATTTTTTCAATGCCTTTTTACATAGAAACATTACACAAATCCAGGTGATAATTGGAATGCACAATTTTCAGTGTACAGCAACAAAAGTTCTGAGTTGTAGTATCACCACCAACATATTTTAAAGTGATCTAATGGCAAAATAAAGCGTAGGTCTCGGCAACTGTTCGAAACTTGCTCCAAAAAAATGATTTGGTTCTCTTATATCTAGTTAATGAGTGACAGGATAACATCATGGAAGAAAAACTCATCAGAGGCTATTAAACATAGCAATATAGACCCAATTTCTGGCTCAAAAGGCCTTTAAAATGTAGATTACCAAAAGCCAATAGCATGCCAAAACTTCACTTAGGCTGAAAAGTCTACAAAAAAAAGGTACCAAGCCTTTATCACCAATCCAGATTTTTCAGGATAATCTAAGGATTTTAATAATCAAGATGGACTAAAAATGACTTGTCAAGGTCTCTGATGACCTACTTTCCATGAGTGCATGAAACCCTCCCCAAAGCAATGAAGGGAGCTGGCATATATCTACATGATAAACTGAATCCCTTAACTGCGGTATTGCAGCAGTGGCAATGTCTGCAAGAAACCTTACCTGCATAGAAGATTCCATCACCGACACCACAGTTACAGCATCTTCCAAAGTCACAGTATCCCTAAACATCAACCGGGCATGAGCTATCAAAAATAAATGGGCATTGAAAGCAAGCGTTACCAAAGTCAAAAAGCAATTTTTTTGTACTAGAAAGGACGGGGTATCTCTTCAAATTTCTTCAGCTCTTCAAAAACTTGTGTATGGGCCTAACTTGAACATGAATATAATCCTTTTGATTTTAGTGTCAATTTCAACAGGAATTGCAAGGCTTAGTTTTACTAGAAAAGAATGTCATGGGACTTCTGGGTTACAGTTACCGTGACAGTTCGAATAAAGATGCTCAAAATGCTAGAGTTAAAAAATGTGAAGTGCTGGATATCACAACGAAGAGTGTGATATGAAACATCCCTATCTATGTAGGTATGTGTCATCACCGTAAAGTAAAAAATTAAGTCTAATTTTCATCAAAGGTCAGAAAAGATTTGATTTCTCCTAACTGGTCTGTGTCACAAATTTAGTATTATTTAATACGCTTTTCTCTACAATAGCTTTATTTTTTCTTCCTTCCCTTTCTTAAGTCAGCAAAACGAAACTGATTTTTGCAAATGGATATAATGCAAATAATTTACCACATGAAACTCTCCTCCTAATTGGCCGTGGAAACACACACAGTTCTTATTCAGCAAGAGAAAGGCAGGTTAATTAATACCACCTATATAATACTTTGAAAGAACAGAATGCTACTAAAAGTCCCAATCATGTCGATGCATAAGAATAGAAGAAACACTGAATGTGAAAATAACATGTGAATCCCTGAAAGTTAGGAATGCCTTTAATTTAAATAATTTTTCCCCCCAAATGGAGAACAAAATATAAACATCTGATGCAGGAAACACTACATTGCTGACTGGCATACAATAGCATAAAGACCATTTATGGCTGTTATACAAAAATACAGAACATTCTTTTAAATTCATCCTACAAATATCTGATATGCCACTTTATAAAACAAAATCCTGTTAAGACAGAGACCTACTGCTTCCTTTGTTTTTGTTCTTATAAATGAAATATGATTTGAACTCAGAGCTGGAAATGTTGAAGTCCTATTGCAAAATACAGGCTTGATCATTGATATTTAAGGAAACAAAAATGTGTTATTTTTGATGTTATATTAATTTTAGGATAGAAGCAAATACTTGACGCCTTTCCTCAGGCTGAGTAGGATGGCAACCCAGGGCTCAAATGAAGTAAAATAATGCTGAGATTGCTTTTCATAAAGACACGTAACTTCTGAGATTTCTCTCTCAAATGTCATTTCTTCCAGTGGTTCTAGTTTTTATTATGGGTGTGAGAACGGCAAAATTAAAACTGATTTTGATAATCTAAATATAACACCCTTTCCCATATTCAAAATCTCCAACCCCAAGTCTCTTTAGATTAGAAAGATAAAACAATACAAGCATCACCTATCCCTACCTCTATGGAAAAGCTGCTACTTTGCTTACTGGCTATAATTATACTCCTGATCTGCTCATTTTATAAAGGTTAATTGTTAGACTAAAAATAAAATCGCCACGGCCTTACCTTCTGCAAGGCGTATCAAACTCTCTAATAAGCGAATGGTAGTTCGGGCAGCATTTCTGCAGTCACTCTGACGCTGCATTTGATAGTAGCGTACAAGGATCAGGTTGCTCTCATCAGACAATTTTGGCTGTATACTTTTTATAAGGCAGAAGTAGGTTTTCATCTTTTCCATGCTCCACAGCTTTTCTGATTTGCTTGGGCAACCTGTATAACAACTGCCTAGTCAGTAATTTTATAACAACAGACATCAAGCTTTTTCCTAAGAATTCCTGCTAAACAGACAAGTGACATACAAGACACATTACTGTATTTCTGGGGCATACTGGGTTGTCTGTACACTAGTACTCAAGGACTTGGTCAAATTCCAGTGCGGAATCTTACACACCACTGAATCCCTCCCCTATGAAAATCCACAGTAAAGCCTCCAGTAATTTCAACAGAACTGCTGTCAGATTCGCTGCCCACCAGATGGTACAGTCAGTACTGAGTGCTCTAGTATTCCTTAAAATGTAAAATGCTACATGAACGTACATGAATGCTACGTGTACCGCCTCTGGCCATTTTACCTACTTCGTAGGAACCAAAAGCTACCTGCCATATTCTGAACATTTTTTGCGGGGAAACATTCTGGGAGGGGAAGGAAGCCAGCTGAAGAAGTTTCCTCTAACCACTTCTTCCCTAACGGGGATCAAGGCCATGCTCCCGAAGTGGATGGAGAAGGGGCTGGTTAAAATCAAATCACACTGCCTTCTCTAATTTCAGAGCACAGAATGCCTTGTAGGGAACACTATTGTTCACTCTTTGAGCACTGCAGCATGCGCAGCTCAGATTTGTTCTGTCTGAATTAAGTTTCCTGTTAACAGCATGTACAATTGCATGGTGTGTAGGATCTGCACATCAAGCAAGGTAAAGGCGCAAGATGGAAACCATCCACTTACTGAGCAGTCTGGGCCGAAATCTCTTGTAAGTGCTCACAGAGTGAAAGTATAGTGTTCTCAGCTCACCCCTATTAATTAATTAGTGATCTCTATCTTACTCCTACTTGAAAAACAACCATACTGCAGGAAACTACCACAGCAAAAATTAACATGAAAGACTCAAGAATAACAAATGAAACTGAAAGGTGAGGAAATTAAAAGAACCAACCAAACAACAAAAACACCTTATAATTTTAAAAGACTACTCTTACCTTTATTTTGCAAGATGAAGGATGAAATGATGCGGTCCCATTCCTCATTCTTTGTATCTAACAAAACTAAGACCAGGTCAAATCTGCTCAACAAGGGACTGCCAAGAGCTATGTTGACAGAGACAGACTCATTAGGGTCATAATGGCCTTTTGGGTTTGTTGCTGCCAGGATAGTTGTCCTTGTATTAAGCTTGCACACCAAGCTAGAGAAAAGTATGGTGAACATTATGGTTGAATTAAATTGGGTGGGGGAAATGATTCCAAAGTGTTAAAAATTATCACGTTTTTATGTTATAAAGAGCACATCTTACCTTTAAAGACCATAAGAGCTAAACAATAGACACAATTATTGTATTAATAGAGATTATATATACAGCATTTCTCAGTCAGAGAATAGGAACTAGACAGAAAGACAGTGATCAGGATACCAAAAGTAACTGAGCAATATTGCCATGAGTAATCTATATACAGCTATATACAGCTATGACCTTAGATGGTGAAAACAAACATAACTTTTCAGAAATAAATACTACTTTGCTGATTTATACAGTACAGAAACACTTTTTTATGATGGAAAGTAACATTTTAGCTTAATACACATTTTAAGAAAGCAAAGTAAAATGTAATATAAATGTATGTTTTATTCCTTTGTGTAAACATGTTATGAATTATGAACCCAACCAAACAATGACAGCAGCCACATCAACTGTTTCTCCAGGGAAATAGCCATTTTCCTCTCTTAACCATGCTATCTTGGCATGTGTTTTCAGATGTGGGGAGAGATTATTTTTATACTAGTAGTTCCAATGTAATCCTTTTGGTTAAGGCAGCAGCAGAAGTATTCTAACTTCGGTTTGTCACCGAGCTATTTCTAGTCAGCTCCTGAGTTAACTGCTGCCTCACGTCCAAAGTTCTTCTGTAACTGAGAGGAAGGACCACAGATCTTCTATTAGCTTATACCCAATGGGAAAAAAAACCTTCTCTCCCATGCACCAAAATAAGACCTTAAATTAACAAAGTGCTTAACCTATCTGTGCTAAGTTACTACTCAAAAAATCCTCATTAGAGGTAGTCCTTAAAAGTGAGCAACTGAGGCTATATGCAAGTTAGCAAACTGTGTTTTGGGGTCTACAAAACCAACCAACTGCAACAACGAATCCGGCTAAAATAGGTCACTATCTTACTAAGTAGATAGGACCACATTGACTCCAAATATTTGTCCCCAGCCAGATTACTGGCAAAGGCCAGTAATCTCCCAGGTGAGAGCAGCATTACTTATCCGCTGTCTGCCTAGCATATTTACAGGGGATGCATCAGAATTGAGTTGGGAGAAAAAGTGCCACTTTAGAAGGTATTTTTATGATGAATGGGTAAATTCAGGCAAATTCATGGTTGTTTTCAACATACAGCACAGTATGGCTAAAATCCTTGACATGACATAGGGAAAAGAAGATGCATTAGATCTGTCTTACAGGCAACAGCAAGATGTTCAGCAAAATCCCAAAGAAGAAAGAGGCAGAAAGGAGCTGAGTTATGAAGCACCTAAAGGAGTTAAAAAAGGCATAAAACCAAAGAGGCTAAAGAGAGCTTCAGTGGAGATGATCAGAATAAAGGACATGATCAGTTAGAGGAGCCAAGAAGATGTGATCAGAGCAAGAGCTGAGTTGAAGGCAACAAACAGGAATGTGGAAAGGGTGACGCCTTTTGAGCAGCAGAGATTTCAGCAATACCAGTCAGGAAATTATTTGGGCCTGGACAAGAGCTGCGTATGACTGACAGAATGAGATTTGAGCTCAAAGAGCAAAGTGGCAGGGGGGAAAATAGCAGATTTGAACACACACTACTTTGAAAAAGGAAGCAAGGAACTGAAAGTAAGCAGGAATTTATATTTATGCCACGCCCAACATATAAAATTCAGCAGCCTGGAAATCTCTTGGTTTTGTTACCATGCAGTATTACTGGATTTTGGAGAAATGAAGTCCCGCTTTCTGAGTTCCAATAAAAATTTCACAGTTTCTCATTTCACGTATCGTTATTATGACCACTCGCAACAAAGGACAAGAAAAAGAACACCAAGTCTTAGGAAAGTGCCGTGGTCTACAGTGGTAGATTGAAAACCCAACAGTGAAGAGGGTATGCATTTATTTGGATCACTTGCAACCTCTTCAAAGCAAACCTCCTCAAAGGATAGTGCACTGTCCTTTGAAACGTTGACTCGTCTAGTTTATGAATACTGCTGAGAACAAATATTAAGTACAACAAAGAAAACATTTAATCAGCATGACAAACCTCCCTCCAACTTCTAAGTACAAGAGAAGCATCTTATGATGTTTTATCACATATGTTAACATGCCACTTACCCTGCTTTTGCAACACTGATGGTTTGTTGCTCCATTGCTTCATGGATACTGGTTCTGTCATGTTCTTTAATACTATTGAACTCGTCAATGCAACAAAGGCCTCCATCTGCAAGCACGAGTGCTCCAGCTTCCAAGTTCCATTCCCCAAAGTCCTTCACAGCAGTCACTGTCAAACCTGAAGAATCAATTACTTCAGTCAGACTTTTTCTTAAAATGCAGGAATGTTTGCACTTGAGTGAAAGAAAGGGACCCAGCGCACTGGTTTGTGCCATGGACAGAAGGCAAAACAGCAGGTTAGCTCCACCACATACCTCTACCATGTAACTCACTTTACACCTACTGGTAAGAAATTCCACTAGCATTCGGCAGGTTAGCCTGGATCTGTGGAGCAGATTCTGTTAAGCTTCCCATGTTCGACAGTGGTTTGTTTCAGGACTTTGTTAATTGAACAAAAGAGATTAGGGTAAGAAGACAAAATCTGCCAGATCAAACTCAAAATTAGGGTAAATGCAAAGATCGCAAAATTATGGAATGGACCCAGTCAGCTCCTCCTCCCCATCAACTACTAAAACAGACATATATTTTGGAGCTGCAAAACAAATTTGGGAAAAAAGTATTATTTCAAGTGTCTTTTAACTCCTGGCCCCAGGAAGTGGAGACAAATTCTCACTTTAAACTAAGACAATTACATTTCTTTGTGAGATTTTGGGTTCCTCTAAGCACTAAGCAAAAACAAAAATATAAGATGCCCAAGGATGAAAGGGCCGGGGGTGTGTGTGGGGAAGTTCCCAGCACAGATCAGTAAATCTACACGTGATACAACACTGGGAGCATGGCAGGTCAGAAACTCTGCACAGCTGTGAAAATGGCCACTCATATGTGCAGCTCCTTTCAAACCTTCTATTCCCTATTTCCCAGCTTCTTCTCTATCTTTAGCACTCCTTTTTCACTTCAGTGTTCAGCTCAAAATATCCTAGTAGCTGACAAGCTGTGACCAGCCTAAAATCTCCTGGAATGCCATGGCAAAATCTGCCCAAGAATCTGCCCCCCCTACCACTTCCCTTGGTTCAGGGAAGAAGGGTGCGGAGGCCTTCTCATCGCTGCGCAGCCACCACAGTAGCCATTTGTTCCCAGTCAGCAAGAAGTTATTGGAAATGTATGTTTCCTGATAACATAACGTGTACTTTAGCTTGTTGTGAGGAATCTCCTCCTTTGTGTCCAATCTTTTCCGGTTTCCTGGACCCTGCACTGAACAACTCGGGCAGTCAGTCATATAGCAGAATTATAAAAAAGCAAAATAACCTCTAGCCTTGTGTCAGACGTATGGAGAATGCTGTTAAAAAGTGGCGCAAGCAACAGATCAGGCAAGTACCAGACGATGACATTTCTTTGTAAATACAAACCGAAAGTGCCATCTACTTTCCAAACCTTGCACGGGCTTGGAGATTTGCTGAAGGGCAAGGCCAAGGCTCTGTGCCTCAGCGCTGCGCTCTCGCCTGCTGCAGATCTGGCAGCACTCTACTCCCACCAGCAGGACTCGGCCTTTCCATGCAGGTGAAAAGATGGCTCCTACATGCCTTCCTGCTGTGCATATTCCACCGCATTCAAGGGCTCCCTGCAGACATTACTAGAGCCTGGATGTATATTTATTTCCACACAGAATCTCCTCTTGTGGTGAGGGTACACAACTCAACCCCCCCCCCCCCCCCAC